TCACAAAATTGACTAATACTCAATAGATTATGCTTTAATCCATTCACATATAAAACATTCTTAATTTGTATGGAAGAGGTATTACCAATAGTACCAATACCTTCAATGTGACCTTTTGAATCATCACCAAAAGTCACTTCTCCTCCATTGGTGTTAAGCTCAATGAACCGGTTTTTGTCTCCGGTCATGTGTCTTGAGCATCTACTATCAAGGTACCATGAATTTGGATTTGTTTCCTGTGACTTGTAGCAATGCTCCTTTTCCTACAAACTTAGATTAATTTCTAATTTTTGGTACCCAAATTCTTTTGGGTACACATTCATTAGTTTCCAAAATCCTAGTCCCCTTTGGTATCCATTTGTGTAGGATATCATTATCTTTAGTAGTAATGATCTCTTTAGGAACCCATATACTTTTAATGATTTTTCCATTAGAGGTTCTTTGGGGACCTTATGATTGTAGTTTTTAAAACTTTTTCTAACACAGTTGGATTTTGAATTTTCTCCATTTTCAAAACGTTTTGTTCCAACTTTATCAAAAGAGGCTTTAAGATCATCAATTTTCTTTTGATGATCATCATTGACCTTTGAAAGTAAATTTTGCAAATCCAAAATTTTTTTTCAAACTCTTCTAGCTTGATTTGCAAATCTTTGATTTTACTTTCAAGATCGTTGTTGGTTTTAGATATGAGTTTATTTTCATTTTTCAATTTTGAAACATCATTTTTATATTTTAAAAACAATTTCTCATAATCGAAGCCAACCCATTATATTCCTCTAATAACTCATCATAGGATAAATCATCAAAATTAGATGAGTTAGAGGTTACCTTAGAATCTTCCCCGAATGTCATCAAGCACAAGTTTGCTACTTCTTGTTCCTCTTCATCGGAACCTTCTTCATCGCTCCATGTAGCCACATGAGCCTTGTGCTTATTCTTTGATTGACCCTTTCTCTTCAATTGTGGACAATCATATTTGACATGCCCCGACTTTTTGCATTCATAGCAAATGATTGGGTCCTTCTCTTTTGGTTCATTTTTGAGGCCTTCATTTCGTTTGAATTTTCTTCCTCGGTAAGGTCTCATCATTTTTCTGAACCGTTTGGCAAACAATGCCATTTCCTCTTCATCGTCGTCTTCATCCGAATCACTCTCATCTTTTGTGGATTTGAGAGCAACTCCAATGTTTTTCTTCTTCTCCTTCTCCTTCTCCTTTGGTGTCTCATCAATCTTATCGAGGTCCACCTCATCTTCAAGCATCATTTCATGAGTGAGGAGTGAACCGATTAGCTCTTCAAGAGTTAAGGACGTTAGATCCTTAGACTCGATGATTGTCGTCTTCTTTGATTGCCATGATTTTGGAAGGGAGTAAACTAACTTCCTCACAAGCTTTTCATTTGAAATGATCTCTCCATATGATTTGAGACCATTGACAATCGTTGAGAATCTATCTGTCATAGCTTTGATATCTTCATCTGGTTTCATCCTGAAATTTTCATAGCTATGCGTTAGAATACTAATTTTAGATTTCTTTACCTCATCGGTACCTTCATGAGTGACTTGAAGTTTGTCCCATATTTCTTTGGAGGTTGTACAAGATGAAACTCTTCCGTATTCATCTGGTCCAAGAGCACAAAATATGATATGGATGGCTTTGGAGTTGAGCTGGAACATTTTTGTCTCTCTTTCACTCCACAATCTTGGATGAGTGAGAGGCTTGATGTATCTTTCTTCTACGACATTCCATGCTCCCATGTCACTTGCTTGAATGAAGTACATCATCCTATTTTTCCAATAGGCATAGTTATCCCCATTGAAGAAAGGAGGCTTGTTGACGGGCATTGAATCGAGACTGGAGTCGAAGTTTGAAGTAGAGGCCATTGATGACTTTGATTATCGATGTAACTCTTCCCGAATCGACTCAAGAGGCGATTAAACTTTCAAATGAGTTAGGCTCTGATGCCAATTGTTGAGTTAATCGATTGATGAATATGGCCAAGAGGGGGTGAATTGGCAATTAAAATTTTGGTGGAAGCTTTTGCAGAAAATTGAAAGAAATTTGCACATCGATTTAGAGTGGTTCGACTTTCTCAACCAAAGTCTACGTCCACTACCTTAGCTATCCATACTAAGGATTTTCCACAAATTCACTAATTTGTCTTTCTTTTGAGGACAAAGAGTAACCTTACAAACCCTCAATAATTATTCCCCAAATTCTTGAGAACACTCTCTCCCAAAGAGAACAATACAAATTTGCAAACTTACAAGGAAATCCTCACAAGGTAGATTGTTTGCACAATTCTAGAACAAAGAAAAGAACACTCAAGAATGAATACAATTGAGCACAATAAGTGTTCTTGAAAGCAAAATGAATATTAAATGAAAAATAGGCTTGAAATGCTCAAACTTGAGGTTTGATGCTTTCTCTTTGATTCTCTCTTGATTCTAGTTGTTTGATGTTTCTTGTTATTGATCAATGGCTTCTAAGCTTGCTTAAATACACCTTGAATCACTTCTGAATGTTGGGGGATCATTAATGAAGTTTTTGGATCCGTTTAAGTGTGAAAACAATTAATATTTCTGCTTGGAGCGTGGGGGAATCGGTACCCCTAATGGGGAATCGGTTACCTAAGTGTAAAATTCAAATATTTCGATCGTTGAACAGTGGGGGGAATCGGTACTCCCTGGGGGGAATCGGTTCCCTCCGAGCATACTGGAATTCTCGGAGCCAAACCATTCAGGGGGGATAGGTACCCCCTTGGGGGGGGAATCAGTTCCCTCTGAGCAATCTGGAATTTTTGGCTTTGAAATGGTTCGAAATATTTTGTAAAATCGTTTGAAATTATTTTAAGATTAAAACTTAATTTTACACTTGAGTAAGGATTTAAAATGAACTTTGAAATACTTTGAGTAATATTTTGATATTCGATTTAATATATTGAATATGCTTAGAAAAATCTTTTTCAAAATTAAAATTCTTTTAATTTAATTTGTTATATCGAAACATCAAAATGTTTTCAACAAGCCCCAAATCTTTGAGAAACTCAATACCCAAAATGATTTTTTTAATATGAATTGACTGACTTCCATTTATGTTCTTACTAATAATTGGATAAAACGAGATGTAATGTACTAAATAAGAAAATGGGTAAACTACATAAATGACCACCCCACTATGGGCTTGGTCTCGAAATGACCATCATTTTCAAATTTGAGATGTTATGACCATCGAACTATTTAAATGATTTCAATATAGCTACCTGCCGTTAACATTTAACGGAAGTATTTACGTGGTTAGTATAATTAGGAAACGGGTCCTTGTAAAGTTACATATTCGCTGCGTTGGAACCATGCTTTGTTTTCTTCCATTTTGGTCACTACTTGTATATGATTTGTTTCCTTGGATTTTCATTTAATGCAATTTTATCTTGATTCTATAAATGTCTAATGCCTTAATTTGAGCATTAACTTTAAAATCTTTTATTCTAGTCATGTATTAAATTTATAGATTAAATGTCCTAGATTAATTAAATTAAAATTAAAAAAATCCTTTAATCAGATTGTGACATCATCACAATTTGAATGGAGAAATAAATTTATAAAATTAAATTGAAATTAGGACCTGATTAAAAATTAAGAATTAAAGTTAATCTTGGTGATCAAATTGATTAATTCTAAATTCTAAGGGATTTAAGCTATAAATTTAATACATGACTAGAATAAACGATTTTAAAGTTAATGCTAAAATTAAGGCATTAGAAAAAGTAAAAACAGAATTAGGATCAAATTACATTAAATGAAAATTCAAGGAAACAAATCATACACAAGTAGTGACCAAAATGGAAGAAAACAAATCTGGGTTCGAGCGCTGTAGATCATAACTTTACAAGGAGTCGCACCCTAATTATATCAATTTCGTTAACTGCCACGTAAACAATTCCATTAAATGTTAACGACAAGAGGCTATATTGAAACCATTTAAATACTTCAGTAGTCATATTGACGCAAAATTTTAAAATGAAGATAATTTTGAGACCAAGCCCATAGTTAGGTGGTCATTTATGTAATTTACCCTAACAAAATCATTAAAAAGAATATACATCTTCTAATTTCTGTTTCATTTAACAACTTTTTAAATGGATTAAGGATGAAAAAAAGCATTTGAACTTAAAAAACATGTATTCAAGTTCCTGAATTTTTAATTGAATTAAACTCTTTATACTAAAAAATTAAATCAAATAATTCATCGAACTAAAAAAATTATAACAATTATACTCTTTAATTATTTTTTATCGTTAAAACTTAGCCATTTAGGGTTAACACTATCATGTGACAGAGATGGACCGAGGGAGGAGTAGATGTGGAGGTCGTCTCTTAAAATTTTAAAATTACTATATATTTTAGATTTGTTCTATGTATTTTCAATTAAAAATCTGCTTTTATCATTGAAATTTTATAAGTTCAAGGTCGTATTTCAACATAAAATCATATATTCGTCCCTAAATTATGACACATTGTGGTGTTGTGACATGACATTTTCATAATTGTTTTTAACTTTTATTTTTATTCTAAAAAATGATATTATAATTCGCATTTATTTACTACACTTTGACATTGCAGAAGTGTAGGAAAAGTTGGGTCTCCGATGAGGTTATCAATACGTAGAGATTATTACGTCAAACTTCCAACCCTCGAAAAATTCGGATCTACAAGTTGACTTCTTTGAATCTTCAAGCAATTTGTTTTCAATCATGTGCATGTGAAATCCTCACGATATTTCGCTACCCATTGTTAAACAGCTGATGATTAAGATAATAATTGACTTTTGCATGCAGAGTTAACTCAAGATTAAGCTTACACTGTAGGTTGACATAGGGAGGTTTGATTGGGTTTCCCTTTGTTGAACCCATAAATTGTGGATCATCATTATATTAATCCTTAAACTTCCATTAATGCTAATTTAATATTATCTTACTGATGAGTTTAACCATTGGGTCTGATGACATTATATAAAGAGCTAGTAATGGCAGCTATTGTTCTGCAGTAACCAGAAGCCTAATTCTCTCAAGCAACATTCTTTTCGGTGTTAGAGAATATGAAGGTAAGTAATTTATTTTCTTGTCTCCATGAAAAATAATGTTGGGAAATCTGATAGTTTAATTTTTGATTGAAATTTGCAGCAAAAGATAGTTATTAAAGTGTCGATGCATTGCAGAAAATGTCGAAAAAAGGCATTACAGGTAGCTGCTGTTGCATATGGTATGTTTTTAACGTTAACCTTTTCAAATTCAACTTGACGTTATTGGTCAGAATTCAAGAAAAATGAAAAAATTTGATCGGATAATGTGGTGGGAGAAAATAGTTAGAACGGACGATGGAGAAATTATTTTTTCAATTAGGATGAAATGAATAATGGATGTGAATAACATTCGAACCACCTAACGTTTTTGGAAAAACATCGAGAAAACATATTGTGTTCTAAGTTTATATGTTATGAAGTTTGCCGTTCACGTTTATATGTAGTTTAGGGAAGACGTTGTGTCTTCACAGCATCTTTCCAAAGACACCAAACAATTTGAGAGTATTTCTTTTACACTGTTCATTTCACCTTAATTAAAAAATAATTTTTATATGAATTATTGTTTTTCTCTATCACATTATTTAAGAAAAATTGTTCTAACAAAAATGAAAACATAATTAATAGATGTGATGCATTGGCAGGGGTGACATCGGTGGCATTACATGGACCGGAAAAGGATAAGCTGATGATATTGGGTGATGGGGTTGATGCGGCATGCTTGACCGAGGCATTGAGGAAGAAGCTTTGTCATGCAAGCATTGAGATAGTTGAACAAGTGAAAGATCCCGAACCATCCAAACCAGAAAAATCTACTAAGCCGCCGATTATATACCATCAACCACCCCAGGTTGAATATTACAGAGTGGTGCCCGATCCAAGTCCACCTCCTTGTACTATTATGTGAAACTAAAATGACACCATTGTCTCCAATAAAGTCATGTTGGCAGTTGTGACTCCAACTATTGGCCTGCTTTTTCTGTCATTTTACCTCCTCTTTAGAATATCAATAGGTGATTGTATACGTTGCAAGTTGGGTAACAATCAAGTATTTATTTCGATTGTTGACTATATTCATGTCTGATATTTGAATCTATATATGTATCTATTATAGCTTCGGAGAATGATCTTTAAAAATCTCGAAGCCTCCACATATATGACTTATGGAAATCATCAACACTCCATTAATAAGGTCATCAAACAAACCTCTCTTCTTATCAGAGTTATCAAGAAATCCACATTCTCTAGATATAAATCGTTGACCTAATTACAGCGCGTATACAAGACATCTGACATATCCACATAATCTACCAAAACGAAATATAAGATCTACAGATTTATTTAGCTCATTGAACTACAAATAGACATAATAACCCAACGCTTCACACCACCAGCTAGGAACCACTATATATACCACAATCAAGACTGACAAAGGGGTTGAAGCTTCCAATTTTTAGAGACCATTTTTCTCCTTAATCTTGTTCTTTATGATTGACTCTCTCTTACAAAGAAAAACCAACTAACAGTCGTTCTCTCGTCGATCTTGGCCCACTGTCCAAAATAGAATGAGTGAACCGCCAACAATCGATGAGACAAACTTGCTATTATCAACAATTGGTATGGTGAGCGTGGACAAACCTCACGACCTAGAGAATCAGCCAAGATATCTCTCAAAAACCAAAACAATAAATAACCATCATCGTCTCCTTTCTCTTTCCTAAATTCTACCTAAATGCACCTGGCTTCTCTTACCAGTCCATTGTTAAAAACCAGAAAAACATAAGATAAGAAGAAGAGATGTGAAAGGTGTCATAACAGCTTTTGGGACCGAACTTGATCACGTGTTTTGAAATGTTATAAAAAATATAGAAGTCGCCATCGACCTTTGGGTTAGGTAGATCGAATACATAAAATGTCTTTAAAAGAAATTTTAAAATAGGTATGTATATAACCATATATTCATATTGAAAAGGGTTTGAGAGACGATTTCGCATAGGAAAGGATGAACATCCTTGCAACACCCAAAATCGATACCTAATTAATTATATGTTGCTTCTAATAATGACAATTATGAATTCAAATATAAATTTAAATTATGATCCTCTTATTCTCAAACAAACAAATATGTGTTACTTTATTAATGGAAACTTTAAGGAGAAAAGATAATATTATATTATTTTTAATTTTACTCAAAATAGAAGAATATTCCAAAATTACAATAAAGATTTACAATCAAAATCTAAGCATATAATTAGGAAAATTTCCTATAATCATTGAAACAAAACTAGTAATTTAAGATCACATAAGGACCATACAAGGAAAGATTAAATCTAACCAAGAAACTCGAACAAAGATAGATACAAACAGATCTGAACACATCAGCAAACGAACCACAAAAGAGGATCAAACTATTGAAAGACCACCGACAAACCATAAATTAGACTCGAGCGACGTAAGAAGCTATCAACAAATGCAAACTAGGTATCCAAATCTAATCCGAGGGTCCAAAGCAGTGAAGATAAAAAGTTAGTAGATAATCACCATCTTGATCAGTCGTGACAATATCAAATCAAACCTTAAAAAAAGATAAATAAAAACGGCTAAAGAATTGAAAAAAAATGACAAAATGCATAAAAAATGTGCCATAAAGGTAAATGAAAACGTACAACACAAACAAACTTATTGAAAATAAAAAAAGAAAAAGAAAATAAAGATATGATATAGAAAAGAAAAAAATAAAGAATACCGCGTTCAACAACCAGCATTAAAGTTGGTGCCGCCGCCAATCAATAAAAATGAAAAAAAAAAGATGAACGACACACAAATGAGAGAAAACTAGAATATTCTATTATTTTTAATTGAAGTGAAAATAATTCCTTAAATATATTAAGGTGAGTATTTCTCTCTTTTCAATTGAAATAAAAAGAATATAATAATTTCTCCTAAATAATTTTGTTTTAAACATTTAATCAAGCAAAATCATAAAAATGAAGATTTAAATAAGTTTTTTTGCTTGGCAAGAAGATTTTATTAATGAAATCAAATAAGCCTAACTTAAGTTGTATATCTCATTAAAACCCTCTCTAACCTTAATTAGAGGAAAAAATACATATAAAGAAAAATAAGCACATGCCCCTGATCAAAACCATAAAACAGAAATACAAAACCTATTCAGAAGAAAAGCTCACACCCATGATCTTTCTTACTCAAACATGGTTAAACTTCACCCTTCCAAGACTACATTTCCACCAACAGAAGCCACAAAAAACCTCGAAGAGGAATCATAATAGTGATCTAGATCACTATCACCATAGAGACCGACACCAATGTGAACAAATTCAACCATAGCCAAGAAGATTAAATAAAAACTTCCAAAAATATTTTTATAGCTATTCTAAACCCACTTTATATAGTTTGGATTAAACTAACATAAATTGTTCTAAAATATTCTAAACCCACATTTACACTTGCCCATTCGATACACCCCAATCAAGACCGATACTCTAAAAATAAAAGCATTCTCAAACCACACCATTCCAATTTCATCAAATGAATATGAAGAATTTTTAAATTCTTGGTACCCTTATTCTCGCTTATTCATCACCTAAATTTAAAAACTTACTAGTTCGCTTTTCAATATAGCTAATTCGCTCACCGCGTCGCTTTTATTGTCTTAAATTTTAATTCCAAGACTCTTACCTAATTTCAGAGTTTTTCTTGCCTCCCTAATTTGCATTTCCCACCGAGATACCATGTTTGAATCAAAGAGGGATCTACCTGATAATTATGGAGTTTCCTCTTGCTTGGATTTCTTCTTCATCTTCTTGATACCTCGATCTCTTTTTCTTTTTCGATCTCGTTCTGAAATTACTCAATCTTGAAATTCCCTTAACGAGCCATATATATTCCCTGATTTTTCGATGGTGCAAATTCTGGGAAGAACGCATCAAACTCCACTGCATTCTCAAAACAATTTTTTTCGTTGACACAGAACAATCGCTCACTTTGTTGTATTCTCCTTTCGATACTACTTATGTTATAGATAGTTGCCATTACCCCAATCAAACACCTACTCGTCTTCAAAAAATCAGAGTCTTCAACAAGTCCTATGATACTCTTCCTCTCCACTAACTTCTGAATATTGAGTTCCTCTTACCTCTCAACATTAATAGTAGGTTCCACTTTTTTCGGTCTTCACATTGGCTTCCATGCCTGAACTTTTCTTCTTGAATGTTTGTTGTTCATTTTGGCCAGTATAATAAATATTTTATTGCCATAAACCTTCAGACCATTCAATCTTTCTATTATTCTCCACGCCTCATTTTTATTACTCGTCCAAACGAAAGTAAATCTTGTTCCACGTCTACTCCATTTACATGCGATATAAACACTTAAAACCTCTCATTGCCTTTTGATGTAGGTCAACCTACATTTTATTGTGGATTTAGGAAGGAAGAAAGCTACCTACAACGTAAGTGAATGGTTACAAAGACAATGGTTTGGTAGGTTGATTAAGGAAGAAAACAACTTGCAACGTTTGATGTAAGGTTGATGTAAAGTGATGTAGGTGGGATTTTAGAATGATGAAAATGGGGTTGGTTTAGTGATTTGGATGTGGGATAAGGGTGATGAAAGAAATGGATAGAAATGGTGTTAATAGTATCTTAAGAAAGACTAAAGAAGAACCTATACTAAGGAGTATAGACCCAGTCGTTATACTTTCTCATAAGGGGTGGTAGATAAGTACTTTGACCCACTATCTATGATAAGATATGAACCAAAAGTATCAATGAAATATGACATACTTGATAAGTTGATAAAGTCACAAAGTACTAAGGAAAAGGGATGAACTCTCACTTGTATAAGCAAAGGATGATGCCTTACAAAAGCTAAGATATTGGCTATCGATACAAAATGAATAGACTAGGCCGAATGGACATATAGTTTCAGCCAAAGGTTGTTTCCTATGAAAGTACATGTTCATTTGTTGAATGTTTACAACCTTTGATGATAAATGGGTAAGTTTTGGTTCGACTAGCCTTTTCATAAGCCCAATGATGCATTTGGCCGAATGGTTACCTTGGTTTGGCCCTTCGAATGCTTGAATGAATGGTGTGAATTGCTTGGTCAAAAATACTCATAATTATTCATACTTAGCACCTAAATGAGTGGTTGTGAGGTCTTGGCCGAATGGTTATAACTCCTTTGGCTTTTGGCACTTAATTTGAATTCAATAGGGAATCACAAGCACTTTTAATGAATGCTCATGATTCCTTACTTGGTGTGCTCTTCAACGCCTTGCTTATGATGTACCCTTGCTCAAAGGTGATGTTAGGCTCGTCCATAGTGCTTGTATGATGTCCAAGGTTTCCACTTAGGTAGCTAGGTGAGTGTGAGCTAAGGTAACTCGTGCAAGATAACTAGTGACACTTCTAGCTACTTAGTTACATGTCAGCTACTCTTCAACTCCATTCAGCTTCCTTAACTATCTCTGAGCTAGACTTCTCATGCTTGAGCTAGGTTCATCTACTTGTCTCCACTTTGATCTATCCATGAGCTGTCATGCTTACCTTTTAGCTATGCCAAGCTGCCAAGTGATGCCTACTTGATGTGTTCACTTATGAATGAAAAGAAAACAAGGAAATAAGTAATGTGTGAGCTAGAATCAATCCATTAGTTTGATACTGCCTATGTAAATGATGCAAATGAGCTAGGAATGAATGCAAAAGCTATCAATATCAACTCATATGCTAACTATTAATATGCATAAGCTAAGAAATGATATAAACTCATAATATAATCATGTATTAAGCTAGGAATGAAGGTAAATCATAACAAATGCATAATATAAGTTAAGTATAGGAATATAGGGATACTAGCATGCAAAATACTTAATGAACATGCATG